TAATTCACCGGTATACATGGCAGTGGATGCGATTAGTTACCTGAATGTAAATATCGAATATGCGCCTTCCCAAGCTTTTATGTGTTCTGCCATTTCTAAACATTATCTCTGCAAAATGGAGGTTTACAGTGTAGTTTCGATTTCCCAGACAAAACCCAAAATAAGTTAGAGAGATGGGAGAAAGCCGTGCATGTTGAATAAGAAGAGTATCCAAGATAACTCTAATGATCCCAAGAAGAAGAAAATAGAACACACTCTTAAAGAAAGCTCACAAAACAAACTAGTTAGCAAAGCTTTTCTTATTTAGCTCTAGGCTTTGTTTTTCTTTGGATGATTTACAATGCTTGAGGACTTGGGTATTTATAGCAAACCAAATGATTAAACTAAGATTATTTATTACCACACAAAACACATTAATTGCACCTAATTTATTTTTATTCAACCATGCCTAACATTGCCTAATTTTCCATACCTAACTTTGACATTGATTTTCAACACTCCCCCTCAATGTCAGCTCTCATTCTTTGCACTGTGCTGAGCAGACAGCGAAAATTTTCGAGCTTGCCTGTACTTAAACTTTTTGTGAACAAGTCCGCAACTTGATCATTCGTCTTGACTTGTCTCATCTCAATCTCTTCTTGTAGAACCTTTTCTCTGATAAAGTGGTAGTGCACTTCCACATGTTTAGTTCTTGCATGAAAGACTGGATTTTCCGCCAAGCGAATGGCCGATTGGTTATCACAGTACAATGGTACTGGATAATCTACTGGTTGATGTAGATCACTCATCAACTGTACCAGCCATGCATTCTCTTGAGCTGCCATTGCTGCTGCTCTATACTCTGCTTCAGTGGTTGACAATGATACCGTCGGCTGTCTCTTGCTACACCAAGAGATGGTTCCAGAACCAAGCTTAAAGACATACCCAGTTGTTGATCTCCTGGTGTCATGATCTCCTGCATAGTCAGCATCACAGTAACCAACTAACTTGCAGTCTTCACCTTTCTTGTACAAAAGACCATAGTCAATTGTACTCTTCACATATCTTAGTATTCGTCGAACTGCTTCCAAGTGAGGCTTCTTTGGATTTTGCATGTATCGACTCATCACACCAACTGCATAAGAAATGTCAGGTCGAGTCAAGGTTAAGTAGATCAGACTACCTACCAATTGTCGATACATCGTCGCATCTTCCAAATCTTTTCCTTCATGTGCACTCATTTTGACATTTGGCTTCATCGGCGTAGAGATCAGCTTGCATTCAAGCATTCCGAACCTCTTCAATAAATCTTTGGAATACTTCTGTTGACAGAGAAATATTCCTTCTTGTGTGCGATCAACCTCTAGACCAAGGAAGTGCTTGAGTTGACCAAGTTCCTTCATCTGGAAACGGACTGATAAATTCTCCTTCGTCCGAAGAATTTCCGCCTCATCATCACCGGTTATGATCAAGTCATCCACATACACTAGCACGATAGCTAGCTTTCCTTTATTGGCTTTGACAAACAAGCTGGAATCTGCAGGTGTTACTGAATAACCACTTTGTGTTAGAAATTCAGCAATCTTACCATACCACGCCCTGGGTGCTTGTTTTAATCCGTAGAGTGCTTTCCGCAGTTTACACACATATTCAGGATGATCTTGGTTCTGTAATCCCATTGGTTGGATCATGTAGATCTCCCGATCCAGCTCTCCATGAAGAAAAGCATTCTTCACATCCATCTGCCACAGATTCCAGTCTTTGTTGGCTGCAAGTGCAAGTAAGACTCGTACTGTTGTAAGCTTCGCCACTGGACTAAACGTTTCATCATAGTCTAGTCCGTACTGTTGAGAGAAACCACGAGCTACCAATCGTGCCTTATACCTCTCGATTGACCCATCTGGACGACGCTTTATCTTGTAAACCCACTTGCAGGATATGGGTTTCACATCTCTTGACTTTGGCACGAGATCCCAAGTTTGATTTTGCTGAAGTGCATCAAGCTCTTCTTTCATAGCTGTTATCCACTCAGAACTCTGCGATGCTTCTTCGAACGTCTCAGGTTCTGTTGCTTCTTCAATTATGGCTGCATTGGCATATTTGGGATTTGGTCTCCGTGCTCTTGTTGACCTTCGGAGTTGAGATTGTGGAGTTGATTCTTCCAGTACACTAGGCCCACCTTCTTCGTCTGGTTGTTGATACATGCCAGTTTGCCAAGTACTCTTAGGTACTTCTTGGTCGACATCGTCTCCAGTAAGCAAATCTTCAGGCTCATCTGGACTTGATTGGATTTGGGCAGCTTGGTCTCCCAGTTTCCCTTGCAACGTATCTTCAAACTCTTTTGGGTCAGGTGACGCCTCATTTTCTGAGCACCAACAAGATGATGCTTCTGCGTCCCATTCTTCCTCCACAGCTAGAGACGCAACGACATCCCAATCATCTTCAATTTCATTTTCTGAGCACCAACAAGATGATGCTTCTGCGTCCCATTCTTCCTCCGTAGCGAATAATGCTTCAGCATCCCAACCATCTTCACTATTCTCCTTCGAACTGGAAGTAGCAGTATTACTTTCAACAGGCTCTTTCTTGGTCCAACAATCTTTCGCCATGTGGCCATTCTTTCCACAATTGTAACACTTGCCCTCAAATCTTTTATTATTCTGGGACTGACCATGGTTGCCGTGATACTTCGGAGCTCCCCCTGGCCGAGAACTCCCTCCTCCTTGATGACCTTTTTCCTTGTCACCATTTCTTTTAGATCCACCACCAGCACGCTGCTTAAAGCTGCCTTTGCTTTTGTTGGTGTAGAGCGCTTCCTCTTCACTCTTCAGTGAGACTCCTCCCATTTGCTTGGCCATAGCTTCTTGACTTGCAAGCAAATTTTCAAACTCAACAAGCGATGGTTGTGTCGGCCATCCTTGTATAGCGGCAATGAACCCTCGATATTCGGGTCTCAAACCATGGATAATTATTCTCTTCATCCTGGTTTCCCCAATAGGAGCTGTTGGATCTAATTCTGAAATTTCGCCGCATATCGACTTCACCTTGTGAAAGTACTGGGCAATCGTCATGTCGCGTTGTACCATCGATAGCAGCTCATTCTCGAGAAGTTGCAATTTTGTATCGTTCCTCTTCGAAAAGAGTGTAACAAAAGTGTCCCATGCTTCCTTTGGCGTTCTAGCATCCCGAATGTGCTCCAACATTACTTCTTCTATTGTGGTCTTTAAAGCAAACATTGATTTGCCTGCTTTAATTTTCCACTTCCGCAAGACGCCGTTAGCATCTTCCGCTGCCGGTTGTGTAGCTTCACTACCACCGACAACCTCCCACAAGTCTTGACCTTGAAGGTAAGACTCTATACACGTTGCCCACGTGTTATAGTTTTGGTTGTTGAGCTTCTTGATTCCTCCAACAACTTGAAGATCACCCATCGTATCGGCAAGACTTTGACTACACCGAACAAGCTTGAGTGACTACCGTGCAAAGTAATACACTACTCTCGACACAAAGAAGCTCCCTCTCAAGGTTTGTGATAACCCCAGCAATAATCTCAAGAAACCTTTTCTGATGTGGAAGATCAGTCAAAACTGCAACCACAGAGCATACTCGGAATTTCAAGAGACTTTACAACCAATGCTCTACCAAGACCGATCCCTGACTGACTTGGCTCTGATACCAATTGTTGAATAAGAAGAGTATCCAAGATAACTCTAATGATCCCAAGAAGAAGAAAATAGAACACACTCTTAAAGAAAGCTCACAAAACAAACTAGTTAGCAAAGCTTTTCTTATTTAGCTCTAGGCTTTGTTTTTCTTTGGATGATTTACAATGCTTGAGGACTTGGGTATTTATAGCAAACCAAATGATTAAACTAAGATTATTTATTACCACACAAAACACATTAATTGCACCTAATTTATTTTTATTCAACCATGCCTAACATTGCCTAATTTTCCATACCTAACTTTGACATTGATTTTCAACAGTGCATTCATGTACGGTTGAGGATTGGCCATATAGAGTCTAGTTTTATTATTAGCTATAAGGGTGTCCGTAGTTTGGTCATCATCAGTGAAGTAGCCTGTTGCTTAATCCCCAATTTGTGGTGCTCTGGTAAAATGATGAAGGTCCAGCTGAATCTGTGTCAGCATCATATGATGTATTTGTCTCTCCAAGGACAGTAAATTCTTTCCCACCACAATTTATACGGAGAGAGTAGTACAAATCTATGAAAAAAGAAAGTGGAGATTAGTAGGAGTTGAGAAGGAAAACTAAAAAAGAATGAATCGAAAAGAGAAAGGTAATCATTTGTGTAGAAACTCAGCCTACATGGTGGACATTGTGCAGTTCTGAAGCATGAAACAATTCTCCTGATAGAGTAATTCAGAGTACAGAAAATGTCAGCAATCATAAATAAGAAGAAGTTGAAAAAAAATAGTACAGAATACACCGTTGGAAACCGAAGTAAATTTATAGGTGCATGCTTTTGTTGAATTGTAATCTTGTCTTGGCCCAAAGATAATTGATCCGGCCCATACACAAAGAAAGATCCATGCACATGCTAGAGAATTCTAGCAAAGTTCAAGTTGGTGGAAGAGTTTAGAAGAATGGTGAGGATTCCACCAACATACAAGATTAGTGTAGATAATTCTAGCTTAGGAAGGTAGTGGAATTATCTAGATATCTCTAGCATAATGTTTTCATGCTTCTCCAAGGTTCCATCCATGCCTATAAAAGGAGAAGGCATCCACACCATTTGTAACAACCAAGAGAGCAAGTAGCAAGAAGTGAGAGTGTCAAGTAAGAAGTAAGAAGAAGCAACAAAGCTTCTTAGAGTGTTTGAGTGTTTCCTCTTGTACTAAGTTTGTGAGTGAATAAAAACCTTGTGTAATACTTTGAGAATTCTTTATTTCTCTTGCCTATCAATTCCGCTGCGTTACATTTTTCTTTGTGAGATAAAGCTCTCCAAGTAGTGAAGCATTTTTAAACCCCCAACAGCTTTGAGACGATTAATTTGAACTTATGAACTATTGTCCTTTGACGAGCTTGCAAACAAGTTCCTGCAGAAATTAGCACACATAAAAAGTTAAGCTTGCACCACAAGACACAAACAGAAACTTCAAGCTAATGAAAACATTCTTACATGCCGCCTGGTGGTAGACAACCTCCATCCCCTATGGTGAGGTTGTTATATGAAAGATCACTGCAAAGGTAGGCATTAACATGGCTGGAATGAAGTTTTTAGACCATAGTTTTATATCTATTTTAGTAAAAAACAGCATAAATTTCCTTACTAAGCAACTATAAAGTAGCATTTGGAAAAGAAGCTTACACGACGTCTTTCGGCCAGGTAGGCACGGGTCCAGTCAGCAAGTTTCCAGTTAAGAATCTAAAAATAATGAATACATAAAACTTAGTAAAGAATATAGTATTTCTTCTTAGGAACTTCTTCGTAAAGGTTTGAAAATTTGAGTTTGCCAACTCTGAGTGCATTAGATCAGTACTTCCATCTGAAAGACAGATCTAAGGGTGATCACCTTATGTCACTTAATTGCATGACTAGTAATGACTCTAATGAATAAACTAAATTTTATTGCAGTATAACCCGTGAATCATAATTGTAGTAATCGTGGTTGGAAATACTACCAGCTTGTCATACTGGGGTGTAACAAAACCACAGAAGACTGTCTGCGTGAATTTCATATAAGAAAGACAAGATTGGTCATTCCAATTGCTTACATATAATCCACTTTTGCTAGACTAGCAAAGCTGCTTGGAATTTCTCCGGTCAGCTTGTTAAAGCTGAGGTCTCTGCACAAACAAATAGCAAATGCAGTTTATATATGCTCTCTGCAGAGAACGAAATATCATCTGAAAGAGATGTTCTCTTAATAAATACAGAAACTTAATGTCCCTCCAACATCGTCTAAGTCACTTTAATAATCCTTAAATTAGTAGAATCACATCTAGAATAAATTTTTTTATCTGAAGTTGGAAAAAAATAAGGACGAATACAGTACTTACAAAGTTTCCAATTTAGCCATTTGCCCAAGATTTGGAGGTAGGCGTCCAACAAGGTTGCAACTCCTCAACATCCTGCAACAGAAACACCAAAGCTTTGAGTTTATAGAAGACTTCCGGAACAGACGGAAATTTTGCGTCATGGAACCATTAACTCACAGTGTCTTCATGTTTTTCATCTTATGGAGCGAAGGAATGGGTCATTCAGGTCCACTCAAGTCAGTGATTCTCCTGCATGTTAAAATTGACCATGAACATAAACTTCACATTTCACTAATTGTTTTGTATTTATAAATAGAGACGAGATATACTAACAAGTCAGTTAAGCTTGTCAAAAGAGAAATGCCAGAAGGAATTGGCCCTGTCAAACCGCTAGCCTGAATCAATCTGTTTCAACGAGTCATAACATATTAATTAGTGATAATATTCAGAATCAAATAGCAGAAAGATGACACAAAAGAAAAACACTCACAGTTTTTTAAGACTTGTACAGTTCCCAATAAAATCAGGTATCTGCCCGGAAAAGTGACTGTCACTAACACTGCATAATGATTGGAAAAGGGAAAATACTACCTGTTAGTATGAGAAGGTAGTAGAAATATGTATAGGCGCTCAGGAAACCTTTAGGAAGACATAACCACAGAAGCTTACAATTCCTTTATTTTGGTAAGCATTGCAAATGTTTCTGGCAACTCCCAGGTAAAGTTGTTTGAGGAAAGTAGCCTAAGTATGAAACAGATATAACAATATATCAATGATAAAGAAGTAGATGATTTATTGGTGAAAACATCCAGAATTTGTCTACAAGAAAGAAAATTCCAAATAAACCAAATACTTTTTAACACGGTAAAATTTGAATAGGACTCTTACATTCTTTCTATGTTGGCCCAAGATCCAAGCTCCTTAGGGAGAGGTCCAGATAAATTATTGAAGCTGATGTCCCTATACAAACAAATTCAATTCCATTGATTAAAACAAACATCATTAAGGATCTCCATAGAATCAAATGGGGTAAGCAAGAAACAAATGCGCAATCGACACTCACAAATTCTTCAGGGTGGTGATGTCTCCGAGCTCTATGGGGATAGAACCCGTCAAACGATTTCCAAAAAGGGTTTTGCATCAAAAACTATAGTCTTAAGATCACTTTTATCAAGCAAGAGGCTCAATAACATTAACATGTTCGTCAATACGAAGGCAATGAACCCCATGTGTTCGATTCAATATTTATGATTCAAACACCTCATGACCACGGAAGCTCATTATCATGAACAAAACCCAATGTAGTAGATTCATAGTTTAAGAAAGAAATGGCTGAAGAACATTGGAGTGACCAAATAAAGTAACTAGAACATGACATGAGCATCAAACACAAAAATGTATGCAGTGTGGGAGAAGACAGTACATGTTCACAAGTGGAAGAGAGCTTCATTCTGGAGGGATGGTACCGCTCAGGTAGTTGCGGGTGAGGTCGCTGAAGGAGAAAGAAAGAAACCAGTTATTGTCTCATTGACAACAAACATGAAGGTAAGCTATATATGAAATTAGAATAAACCATTTTCACGACACAAAGTTATTTTCTTTTTACTTTAAATAATGTAAACTTGGAGGGGTAAAAATGTGCTTACATTTCTTGAAGATAGGTGAGATTTACCAGCTCTAGTGGGAGTGTTCCTTGCAGATCTTGGGATTTTAGAATTTTGTGTTTCATCGGAAAACAGGTTTCAAAGATTAGTTATAAATTAACAGACATTCATTACGCATCTTTTCTATGACTAAAAGGAAAAGCTGCCACATAAATGAGACCAAACAGGTAAAACACTAACTTATCACAGAAAATACTTACTTAAACAGGTAAAACACTAACTTATCATAGAAAATACTTACTTTTGGTCAGGGAATCAAATAGGAAGAAGGAACTGGTTTTCTTACTTTAAAACCAAAGGAAAATGTCCAATGTTCTTTAGAAAGAATAAAACTTGAGGAATCACACAAACGGTAAATGTGTACTTGTTACAAGCACTGTGAATCATTCTTCCATTGACTTTGTAACTAATAACTAGGTCAATACAGAGTTGGTCATGTATAAGAAGTATGCAAGAATCATGGTGACTGTGAAAAATTGTACGGTGATCAAGTATGCAAGAATCAAGCCTAAATACAGCACAGCAGTAGGCATTACTGGCTCCTGGCCATCTCAAAAACACATTGCTGTAGTGATTGAGAAAATTGGTCACATCCCACGAACTCGATTTTGCAGATATGCTTAAACTTGAATTGCGGTACATGGTAGGTTGTAATTGATGTTTCATTGGTCATTCAATAAAAGAAATGGATTAGTCTTTCTGCATTTCTTGAATTACAAGGCACAACAAGGTATTATTAGAGGAGGAGGATTCTCTACACTCATATTCTCATCCCTTCCATCCCCTCATATCACATTACTTTTTGTCTTATTATTTATATAAAAAAACAATATAAAATGTTGACGTGGCTTAACCGTGACTATTCAAATAGGAATAGATGGAAATGTAAAGAGATTAGGAAGGTAAAGAATCTTGGTCCATTATTAGACAAAGAGAAACTTCCAATTGGTAGCTGGTTGAAGAAATATTAAAAATCTAGTGGGTAAAGGATTTGGGAAAATGGAAACCCCACTAGGGTCTAGAGATATCAGAATTACATTAGCTTTACACCTAATAGTGGATCACAAACTCAATATATACTAAAACTGAAAAACAACTGAAACACTGTTCTTAAAAACAGTGTAGTTCCGATTTTATCCTTGCTTAGTTTGTGTTATTATAAGTCTGCCATTCTGTCTGATGAGTTCTTGAGCTGTCGTTTACTCTCTTGGACGGCACAACGAGAAAACTCAATTTCCTCCACGTCTACGTTCCGCTCGACTTCAATTCGAACCAAAAAAATCTCCGACAGCCCCCACACCCCATCAAACCCTAGAAATCATTTCTTTTTTGGGCATCCGGAGGGCTCCTCCTTATTTCTCCCTGCACTTTGTTCTCTCCATTTGATTCAATTTCGGTGAGTTTTTCGTTGATCCTTGCCTCATGATTTCCTAATTTGATTTTCTTGGGCGTCTGTAGGCGTCATTTTGATCTGGTTTTCTGCGTTGTTGCTTTTAGTTTTTGGGTTTTAATTTTTTCGGTGGATTGATGAATCTGTGTGCAAGTATATGGTGTTTTGTTCAAAAATTAGGATTTTGAGGAATTTAAATTCTTGTAATGAATTTTGGGATATTCTATCAAGATTTTAAATGATTCTTTGAAATTTAAAGTGTATTTAATTAGGTTTTTAAAATAGTTTATTAAAAATAGAATTTTATCGAAAATTTCGTGATATTGTTTATTTTAATAAAAAATTATACTTTAATACTAAAAGGTCAAACCTGATACTATTCATTTTATCGTTTATGTTGTTCTTATCGTTAAAATTCAAAGTTTTTAAATCATTTTCATTAGTTTTCTTTTGTTAAAATCCTTAGAAATCCAGATGTATTCAATTAAGATTTTAAAAAAGTTTCTAACATTTCAGATGTATTCAATTAAAAATTGATTTTAAAGAATTGGAGAAAGTTGAGGAATTAGAGGGAAATAGAGAGATTTTTTGTACTGTATTTTAAACATCTACAAATCTTCCATATTCTCATGAGATTTCGAGATAATTGAATCAAAATTTTATATGAAATCTTTACAAATCAATTAAACTCTATAAAAATCTATGAATTTATAAATTCATTAAAGTCTCTTAAATTCTCAATTAAATACACCCCTAAAAAATTAAGTTATACTGATGAAATGGGTTTCTTTTGGGAATGCTGATTAGTAGTTTGGATGGCTTACGTATAAACATACAACCCATATTGAACTCCTTCAATTATATTCCTTTATGAATAGTTTAATTGATACGGCCTATTTGTTGATGAGATAGTCCATCAAAAGGTTATGGAGTTCTACCAAAAGTTTATGGAGTTCAATGCAGGAGGAATTATCTGTAGACCTGAAAGATGAATTTAAGGTAAATTGTACTAAAGATGGTAGTAACTCATCTTTGCCTGCTTCCCCTCTACTTGGCACTTGCACTAGTTGTGACAGATTTTCCTTTTTGGTTCTATCTCAAGAGTTTGTCAAGGAGAAAGTTCGTGAACGAAAGAAATCTAATCGAGAGATATTTTATTTTTTGGCAGATATCATGCATTACATTTGGGTGTTTGAACAATGTTTGTCTAAAAGTATTCTCTGTTTTTTAGTGTGCAACTTTTATTTTCTCTTTCCTATTATGTATTTTATAGGCCAAAGAAGCCCGGAGAAAAGCTATTGAAGAAAGGAGTGAAGAAGCTAAAGCGGCATTTGGAAGTATGATGCAAGTTCTACTCTGTACTTACATCAGATACTCCTGACGTTTCAAATACAGTAACTTCCAATTTCTCCCCAAACTGATATTTTGGTTTTCTATTGGTAAATGTGAAATCAGCTTGATTTACGTTACAAGGTTGAGGGTTGAGGATACTTGGCAAATAACAGAAGTACGTAATTTGTTGTCTAGCGTATATAAAACAAACCATGGAATGAGAGTGTCGTTTGGCTCCAAGTTTTTAAATTAATGTACGAATGGTTTTCTTATTTTAACTTGCCAAATGCATAAATAAATAGATTATTCTGTAGTATTTCGCTATGGTGGTATTAATTTTCTGTTTTTTTTTGTTTTTTTTAAACCAAAAGATAAGAGGTCTGTTTTTTTTGTTTTTGAGTACATCGTATTTTTACACTAAGGGGAGGGGGAGTTTGGCTAAACCACACAAAAGACAGCCTAATTTAGTATCGAATTCGTCATCCAAGAGATTCAAACCTAAGACCTTTCACTTCCAAATGAAAATGAATACCACCAGACTGAAGTATTGAGTGTGTTGTTCTAATTTTAGATGGCTTAATCTGGCATATTCTATCATTTTCATGTCTAATTAGGTACTAATGTTTCTACTTTATGTGTTCTGTAAATTTTTTGTCATGAGTTATTACTTACAAGGAAATGCTTGAGTTTGCAATTCAACCCTTAGATTTAATGTAATTGTATTTTATCGTGTTTCTGAAGAAATCTACATACGGTGAATTATTTCTGGGGACATCTATATACGGTGAACTTTGACAATAAATTACTAGCCTTCCTATCGATTTCTTATAATTAATTTGGAATGGTTGGTTTCAACGGCCAACTGAGAAGGAAGGAATGAGATATAGCCAATGAATTAGGGAGCTCATTATCGATTATTGGCCTGATGTAAGTACTCCACTTTATGTTTTTCTATCTACCCCATTTTTTCTTCTTTTGTTTAAAACAAAAATCTTAGTTCTAATAAAAATATTAACCTCTTTAACACTTAGCATATGAATTTTTTTTTTTGTCAACAATAGATTTTGTTAGATTAGCCAACGACGGAATTTAAACTCACGTCATCATGTAAAAGCTTAACTCATTTTCACCACTGTGATAAAAAGTCACTTGCCATTTAGTATATGGATGAATTGGCCCAAACTAGAGTTACTATATTTTATGCCTCTTTTCTTTCTATTTTTGGACTCAAAGAGGTATTTAATATGTCATAGAAGGTCAAAGGCCTTTGCTTTAATTTCCAAATCATCAAATTGAATGTGCTTATGTAATCTTAATATTGATTTTATTTTTCTTTTTTCTTTTTTCTTTTTATTAAGGAAACTTTAACGAAAATTTCTCGGTACCGTTTACTATAACAAAAAATTATATTTTTACATTAAAAAGTCAATTATAGTATTATTCACTTTACCCTTTATTTTGTCATCATTGTTAAAACTCAAAGTTTTCAAATCATTTTCATTAGTTTTCGCTTTTATTTATTAGTATTTGACTCTTCTCCTATTCTCCCTTTTGACCCTTTTAATCTTCTTTTTTTTTTCGATTTTGATAATTATTCAAATGAAATTAATTAATAAGTTGGATTTTATATTAATTTAATCTATAAATTTTGTAAAATATGCATGGGAGTTCAAAGTCGGGAGGGGTACGCACATATTAAACATATGTATCTCAGTTAGATTGTAGATTTTGTATGTAAATAATATGTATCTCAATCAGATTGTAGATTTTGTGTGATTTTTAATAGGATTATCAAATCTTTTCTATGTTAATAGTATGTAATACACATCAAGTATTATATTTTGTATATAAATAGTACTAGATACAAAGTTTTTGTATGATTTTCAACCCCATAGTATCACGCGGGGTATTCCTTGTTATACTTATTATCTATTCTAAAATTGAGGAGTAATTGACTGTTCATTCGGCTACAGTCAATTGTTTGCCTCTTGATTTCATCTTATTTACAATAAAACCATGAGATTTGGGCTGGGTTTGAAGGGTATTTATTTGAACTGAGAAGGGTAATTTTGTCCGGAGGGTTTAGGACGAATTACCCCTTTATTTCACCTTATTTGCAAGAAACCCATTATATGTGGACTAGGTTGGAAGGGCAATTTTGTCCTGTCGGTTTTGGCTAAATTTTGGGGTTGCCGTGTAGGGTTGCATTTGCTGCCCTTCATTGATGGTTTCGGGGAATTGAGGCTCTGACAGAGAGCGGAAGAAACACAGAGAGAGAGAGAGAGAGAGAGAGAGAGAGAGAGATGCCGATGGGAAGACAGCGCAGGGGAGAGGTATGGGTGATGGATTTCAAAACTGGGAAAGTGGGTTTTGTCTTCTCGGTTTTGACTGAATTCGAGGGTTGTTGTGTACAGTTTCATTTGCTGTCCTTGAATGAGGGTTTCGGGGGGATGGAGACTCTGACAGAGAGCGAAAGAGAGAGAGAGAGAGAGAGAGAGAGAGAGAGAGAGAGATGACGATGGAAAGAGAGCGAAGGGGAGAGGTATGAGTCATGGATTTCAGAAGTGGGAGAGTGGGGATGGTCAGAGAAAACCATACGGGTTATCCGGATCTACCGCTACATGCCTGGATTTCGAAAGATAAGTGTTTTTTTAATTTTTTTTTTTTCTATCAGCTTAGAAAGATAAGTGATTTCGAAAGATAAGTGGATTATTTTCGAATTTTTTAGTGTGTTAGGTCAGATTTTGGGGGAATCATCAGAGATATTAATTTCCCTTATTAGTTTGCTTTTCTCTCATTTTGCACATTCATCTCTCTGTCTGCCTGTTTGTTCTCTGTCTTAAGGTCGGTTCTTTTTTTTTTTTTTTTTTTTTTTGGGGTTTTTTGTATGGCTTTTTTTTTCTTTTTGTTTTCCAGGTTATAGATCTAATGCTCTTTTGTATACCAATCTTGGTTTTGTTTTTCTTGGAAAATTGTTTTTATCTGATTGTGGATTCGTGGGTTTTAATTTCTATGGTTTGTTGCAGGTTGCAAAGCAAGAGGTTCTCACCTCAAGATTCAGTTTAAGGTACTGTTATTATTATTTTTAGTTCTTAGAATTTAATGTTTCGAACTAATATGATGATTTGGTTGTGAAATTTGGGATTTGTGTTCGGCTTCTGTTGCGTATGTGATTTGCTTTAGTTTGGTTTTTGATTGGATAATATTTTGATTTGCTTTAAGAGTTCTGATCTTCCACTATAATTGTGATTTGATTTATGAACTGATATTCACACATTTGAAACTGATGTGCAGACCATCATGAGGATCACCACACCCATGATCATGTTCATGATCCTGGTGTTTCTTCTGTCAGCATAGTTTGTGAAGGGAACTTAGAACTTGAAAAGGTAGGATCTCTGTTTTGTCGTATTTTGCAATATATTTGATAATTTCTTCTGTGTCTTCCATGTGGACCTGTTGCCTTTGAATGAGACAAGTACACATTTGAGGGCCAGTTGCATCCAGAGTCTTTGTCCAGGCATGTATGAAAGAAAACCTAACAAAGACTACTGATTTCGTTTTTATTTTTTCAGGCTAACATATGGCTTGGTACACTGTTGTTGAAACGAAGTGAGGACATATATCGTATGAAAGGTCTTCTATCAGTTCAAGGAATGAAAAAGAGATTTGTCTTCCAGGTGAGAAACTTGTTGCTAATGGACATTGACATCATTTTTATGTTAATGGATTTTTGGACCGTGTCTTTACTTTCTGATAGAGAAGTTTGATTTTAGCTTATTTGTTTCTACGGATTAATGCATTCAAAATATTATTTTGTATGATTTTTTACATACGTTTGTGGATGAAGGGTTTAGGTGCTCTGAAAATGCCCACCCTTATTTTTTTTTACACCAAGTGTATATGGCAACCCAGGCATTCCAACTTGCTCAGGTACTTCAATCTTTTCAGTTTTTGGTAATTTTTGCCCCTGTTTGGTTGCTGGGAAGGAGAGGGAAAATAAGGGAAATCATCAAAGTTGATACATATCATTTGTTTTTAGTCACATTGATTTTTATTGTGAGAAATTATGTGATTATTTTTTTATAATTACCTGTGGAATTGAATAGTATTAGCTAAAGCTCTCCCACTGCTCAGTTGTATCTATATTAAGAAATTGCTGAGTAGATGGACTACAAAACTCAAATTCCCTCCTTCTGTATATTTGCAGTTGCTTTTCCGTGTAAATCTTCTCTTGCAAAGAAATTCAAAGGCCTCTAATTGTATTCATGGACTATAACTGTAATTATACAATGTACATTATTATTTAAATATAAAAAGGTATAATTTATATATAGTCAATTTAGACTCATTAAAATATACAATCTTTAAATACAAAAGTAAATTTGAAAGAAGTTGAAGTAATATATGAATGCTATGTGATTTATTATGTTCAAAATTGAAATTGGAATCATGTTGTTCTTTGATATGAATGAAGTGTGGTGTTCTCCTTCAAAAAGTTGAAATTAGGTCTCTCCATCCCCTTAATTTCATTTTCTATTAGCAAAGAACTGGGATACCAATGTACTTATGTGTATTGTTTCAATTTCTATGTTTGCTAATCTTTTCCCAGGGAAATACTTCATTTAAGGAAAAGCCTGAAATAATGTTGTCAAGTGCTATACTGAAGCTATCAGATTGAACATGATGTGTGCAACTTAGATTACAACCATGCAATTGCTTACTTGGAGGTAATAGTCATTCTATTGCATGCATATCTTTAGAATCTTTGTTTTTTATAACTATTGGTGAAAGCACTGCAGACCAAATCATGTTATATATGCTTATTGTAAACAGTTATGTTTGTAAATTTGAAGCCCAAATTAACATAATTTCCTCCCCTGTTTGACCACGCATTTATGAATGTTGGATTAAAATGTGTTTATTTTTGGGAAGAAATGAGACGGTTGGTTTGAGTTTTAGAAGCCTTTGTTTTTCTGCCTTTTATGGCAATGAAAAAAAGGGGGAAAACATTGGTCTTAATTGTAATTTCCAATTCTTTACGCTGTTAGTAGTTAAAATTAGGGGAATGGCTATTAATATAATTTTTGGTGTATTTCAAGTTTCTAATTCACAAACTGAGTGAAGGTCACAATAAGTATTAGTCACTACGAGAGTGTTGGACTATCCTCATTCTGGAACCAGGTTTAAGAGGCCCCTGACAATGACATTGAAACGGGTATATAACTCTCTTCTTTTCGTCTTTTAGTCTTTCGCTTACTCGAGCATATGCTGTCATTTAAAATTAGTGGTTTGGTTAATGTACCTGCAGTATCAGTAGTTCCTCTCTTTTTAATGGAGTGATTCCCTTTCTTGGGCATGTAAAATCTTGGTGTCTGTAAATATACACATCACATGACTTTTAACACAAGTCTTGCTTCTATCATTTGATGTTACAGTGGGTAAGCTCTGAATTTAATGAATTGTTCAACTTTGAATTTAATGAATTGTGGTGTTTTATCTTCTGAATTTCTAACCTATTAATATTGGAAGACCTAAAAGATTATTCCAATGTATTGTTTCTGGATTTATTCAAATTAGTAGTGAAATGATGGTATTTATAAATTTTAATTTTTTTTTCTATGATTTACATGTTGATGCAGATTTATTCTCTACGATTCTCTGGTTAGGGTAAGCATTTTGGTGAGCTTTGATTTTGTGAGGGTAAGCTCTTAATCTTTCCTCTATCGTTTTGTAGTTCATCCTATTGTTTTAATTTAGAGCTATTTTAATGCTTTTATGTTTGTTGTTCCGTGCTGGGAAATTGGAAAGCTCTGGAAACAATATAGTTCTTGAGCTAATGTGAAGATTTTGGGTTGAACATTGTGCTGTGAAGATATTGGGTTTAATATTTGATTTCGTTTTTCATTTTGCACTTACAAAAACAGAGGATTGTGGTTAATTATTGTGATGTGAAGCTTCTATTTGATGTCGACTTAATGAGTAGCGATGTAAATTAAACTACGTATTTTATGGATCAATTCACATATCTCTTGCTTTTTCTTTCATTTGGAGATAATTGTGTAAATGTGTGGTTTTGTGAGAGTTACTCATGTAAAACATGCGTTCTCTAAATTGTTACATTTAAGAATGCGATTATATCGCTGTAGCATTTTCAGTTAAATTTTCTATGAATATTATTCATGATTTGAAAACCCGCAGCAAAGCGCGGGCAGTCCTGCTAGTATATACTAAAGGGCAATGGAAATAACCTTGTTCATAAGCGACAGTGTAAAGACGAAAATACCCCTATTCAATTGGTCTCTCTTTTCTGTATTTCAAGTTGGTACAGTAAAAAGGTAAAAGACCCTTTTGCACGCGTGGCGTGCTAATGAGGTTTCTTTGCGGTCTGCGTCGCTTCTTTGTTGCTCTACTTCCAATCGTAACCGAATACTGACTATCCAAATTTTCTCACCCTTTCATTCCTTCCTCTTCCACCTCTTCAGCCTTGCTCCACCGTGAATCGAAACCAAAAGTTGCTCATCCAAATCAATTTCGTTTCATTCAAATCCTTAGAACCCTAAAACCCAAATTTCTGCAGATCATTCCAAAATTCAACGGCAAACACAAAACCTAGATCCCTAAACTCACTCGATAACGTGTCAAAGGCTGGGCATCCAGTTCTCTCACGTGCCTCCCCTTGGATCCACAATGCTTTTGCTGCTGCCAATCTACAGATAGAGCTTAAATTTACATACAATGTTTTTTTTTCTTGATTGGAATTTGGGCTTTTTATTCCTCCTTAATCCCAAAGTAGTTCTGTAATTTATGCAACTTCGATTGAAGGACATGTTTTTTATTGCTGAAAATTGTTAACCCCAATTTAGATATTCATGGCGTTTTGGGTTCCGTAACCGAACCACCTTGCTCCTCTTTTATAGAATCTTCAGAATATAGGTGGGTTTTGCTTTGAATTTGATAAACCTCTCTGGGTTCGTGAGCTGATACAGTTTTTAGGTACTAAGCCGAAATTTTGTTGGATAGGAACCCATAAACAAGTATGAGGACGTATGCGAATCATCAGTCAGCAAGGGTGATTGGCGATAGAAATTGGGTTATTCCATTCATTACCGGCTTTATCATATTCATTACCCTGTTTTTCTTAAACGGGTTTTGGCTTTGGAATGAGATGGAGATCGGTGACAGTGATCGGAGTTCAACTCTGGTGATTTGTAGGGTTTTTGGGGGCGTGAATTTTGGGTGATTTCGTTTGGATTTCTGGGTAAGCAATTATCACCTCTATTCAACTTAAATTTAGTTCCATTTTTTTTTTTGTTTCTCAAGTGTTTTATCCTTTACTAAACAGTTGTTAGGATAATGGCGCGTTTACATAATGGTAATGAATTGAGAAGGAGTTGGAATGAGGAGAGGTCAAAATCGGATTCCTGTTGAAGTTGTTTACTTAAATATTCTCGAATCGGCCATAAAGCTGTTTACTAATTCAGCAGAATCGGAATATAAACCATTACTAAAATGTCTTTGTTCCAAATCAAATATTTTATATACTTTAATGAGTTTATTACTAAAATACCCTTGTTTCAAATCAAATATTTTATAGTCAACAGAATCGGAATATAAACCAGTATGATTACTAAAATGCTCTTGTTCCAAATCAAATATTTTATATACTTTAATGTGTTTATAAAGAATAGTCTTGGAAATAAAAAAAGTAAGTGAGGGCATAAAGGGAACAAAAGTGTCATTCCGATTGCCCAAACAAGCATGAATTGGATTACCACTTATATCTAGGGAATCCAATTCCATCAATACAAGGAATTGAATTCCAAAATTTGTGTGGGCCCCACTGTTTTTTTGATTCATCTATGTTTAGTAACACCGAAGCACTCCGTAATCAGAATTCAATTCCACATTTTCATTCTAATTACGAATATGTAAATACGCCCTAATAGTTTTGATTTCTTTTGAATTTATTTTATATTTTATTTTTAAGCCCTGAATTTTGCAAGAACTGTCTACCCTGCATGTACACATGATGCTCCTGACATTTCAAATAAGGTAACTTCCCAAACACTGATGTTTTGCTTTTTTACTGGTATATGTAATCTGCATGGTGTTGATCATGTCTTTTATTTTGGTGGTAGTTAGGTGTCACTAGATGGTCTACTAAAGCAACTAAGGGTATTGAAATCAGTTATGGTTGATTGGTGGTGGGGAATTGTAGAGGGATATGGTACACATGAGTATAATTGGAACGGATACAAGAGGCTCTTTCAGATGGTGCGCGACCTTAAGCTAAAGCTACAGGCCTGTTCTATATAAATACGTTTTTTCACTTGCAGAAGCTTTTTTCTCTCAGTGGGCATATAAACACCACCGGTGGTTAATTGGTTTGCCATCTTTGCGGTCATTTTTATTCTTTCCTTGGTTTCCTGTAATTCTTGGCAAAGTTTTGAGAATGTGGGAATCAAGGAACTCACTTCCCTTTCATGCTCTGAATTCACACTCAGTATGGACATTATATAATCATTTGGGCATGGTTTCTCTCTCGGATAAAGCTACTGTCTGGCTATATATATGGAACTGGATTTGTGTAATTAATGTCAAATAATTGAGTTCAACATAATTATATTCCTTGGCTTAAGCTTTCATCTTTCTTCCTTCTTTTTTCAAAAGAGGTTAATTTTATACTCATTTTTTTAAGAATTACGCATAATAGTTGTTAAACAATTGCGGCATTTGAAAGTCCTTACTTCTGTAATTGTGAGATGATTATTGTGTAGTTGCTTACAGGGGTGATGAAAATTTTAATTTATGTAGGCATTTTTGCTAGTTAGTAATTATGTAAGGACAGCAAAGACGGCCTAATTTTAAGATACATTCTAATTTTCTTTATATTTTTATTCGTAAACTGACAAAACAAAGTTGGTCGAACTCAAAATTTTCAATTCAACTTGCATATCAAGAATGCTTATAGCTTTATGAAAATGATTATTGCATAATTTGGTTTTATTCATGGCCCTTGATTCGTCAAAGGCCAGAAATCAATAGTGTGCATGAAGAGAAAAAGACAAGCAATAATCACTTTTCATAGCTCTAAACAATAGCAACATTTACTTGTTTTACATATACAATAAGAGCTTTAAAATTTTTACGCCCCAAAGCTAGGACAAATTTTGTGTGCAAGGAACAAATCTGGTTCACTAAGTGTCATAATACAAGTGGTTAAATTTTTTTTTTAAGTATTCAATCACTTATATTATAATATTTTATGTACTAAACTATACTTCGGACACACTAAAAAAATCTCCCGGCCGGGGCGTTAGAAAATCCCAAAGAAACAAACGTGCTCGACTGTTCTATTAAACTAACATCCATCAAATCCAACTGAAATCAATTGGCCTAGCTACCTTGCCCAACACAAGGTTGAATGAGTTGCCAATACTCGATGAGGCCCATACTAGGCCTTGTATAATTCCTACTTTATTTTGGAGGTTTCATGGGCATGGGTTAGGTTAGGGGACATGTAATGAAAAATTAATTGATACGTGTGGCAAATAGACGTGGGATCCACAAAACCGAATTCCAACCATTTAAATCAACATCTATCCTAGTGGTCTATGGCTTAAGATCCGCTCCAACCCTTGGCTTAAACTTAGATCATTTCCAACTGAGAGCTGGTCAGAGGGCTCGTTTTAGCACTCTGGTCCTTCAAGATATTAATATTTTAATAAACAGTATAGGGTCATATTTGCCTTTATCTCCAACCGAGGGTCAAAGGATCATATGGCTCATTTTAACCATGCCACAAAAAACTGTCTTCAACCGAGGGTCATAGGGCCAAACATAATTTATTATTTAAAAACTACAACTTAAATTCAAATTCAACGGCTAAGTGACGTCAGCTAGCCGTTGGATTTGAATTTTTTATGTTGTATAATTTTTATGTTGATTAATGTTATTTAATGTTGTTTCATATTGTTTAATGTTGTTTCATGTTACTTAATTTAATTTAATATTGTATAATGGCTTAGGAAGTTATAGGAAAAAAATGGAATTTAAAAAAATATGAAACAAATTTTGTAAAATAGAAGTTATAGGAAAAATTTTGTAAATAAAAAAAAAATTCAAAAATAACGGCTAGCTAATGTCAGCTAGCCGTTGTATTCAAATTTTTCCCAACTATTTGTGTCAGTTATAACCGACACTATTGCTTTTATTCCTGTCGGTTATATCCAGAAGTTTTAAGTAAAAATTTTGCCCAGCCTGGGGCTGGTTGGCTGGCTGGAAAGGGCCAGCCCTTTGGCGCTTTCAGATTCTGTGGGGGCCCATGATCCCTCTGCCCTAACCCTTGGTTGGAGACGGTTTTCGGGTTATTTTAAGCCTTTTGGACCTTTCGATTGGAGATGGCCTTATATTTCCTTTCCCCCCCCTCCAAAAGCCCAACCCAACCTAACCTAAGTCCTAAAACCAACCTAAAACCTAAAACTCAACCCAGGGCCAAATACTGGCTCTTTTTTAGGCTAGAAATTGGAGTGGACCCCAGTCGGTGTAAGTGCACCACGAGCTGTGAAGCCCAAACGCTAACCGAACTTGCCCAATACGCCCCAACATGCCAGACGCCAGCCCAGCGGGACCCCATCCGCGTGGGTGTGTCCCCTAGCTGTCCAATCGTGTCGGTAGCCGTTGGGCTACTATTTTCGATCCAATGACTGATTTTAAAAGGGTCGTTGGTTAATCCAACAGTCCACATTCAAATTTTTTTTTTTTGTTTTATATTTATATAATTATAACGGCTTAGATCGAATATAATCAAATCTATCTAACGCCCCAAATTTAAATCCAACGGCTAAAATAATTAAAAAAATTATTTAATTCAAAATTCACCCAAAAACTCTATAAATACCTATTTATTTGTTCAAACATTCACCCAAAACTCACTTTTCTCCTACAATTCTTCCAATTCTTCTTTCTACCATTTCTTCTCATTTCCAAATTTTTCAAGATGGCAAAGGAGCATGTTAGAGGTCGTAATTGGACCTTTGAGGAA